GCTCGCCGCCGACATGTGCTTGATTGCCTTTGAGCCTGGCTGACTCGGGACCTTGGTGGCCGCAGCACCCTCTGGACCCTCGGCAGTTTCGTCGGCATCCTGCGCGCGAGAGTTTCGTGTCGTTGGAGGTGCGAAGGCAGGACTTGGCGATGACATGTTCTGGGAAGCGTTGTTGCTCGCGAAGGATGTTGCCTAACAATCTCCAGAGATATGCACACATGCCCGCGGCTCGCTGATACAAGGCCAACGACCAACCATGACGAACCTTCTCACAACCAGTCGCATATACGACAACTCCTGGAAAAGAACGAAGTACAACTTCCAAACAACACATCCCGCCTCGTGGGACCACTTGCTTTGAACCACGCAGTAGGCTCGCCAAATACGGGCCGAGACATGCTCGTGAGAAACCGCGAGGGACTGCAACGACAAGACCCACCCCCCGGAGGCAACGTAAGGGGCGGCACCTCCCGAAGCGTCGCCGAAGGTGAAGGAAGGCTCAGCGCGTGAATCTGGCCCCAGGAAGCCCGGACCTAACTCGCCAAAGAGAATCCTTCCCAGCCAATTCTCTTGTGCCGTCAAGGGTTCGACTTGCGTCTGACCCGACGGGATGAGCGACCCACGTCGACGACAAGGACCACAGGGGGCACGCGCTTGTGCGCGGCTGGCGTCCACGCCCGCATTCTTGGGCGAGCTGGGTTGCGGGCCGTGTTGAGGACCTGCAGGATTGTCAGGTTATTGGCGGGCCTGTTGCCCACTGAAGCCCAGCACAAGGTTTGCCATCCCCGTTAGCGAGACGTGCTCTGTGGCGCTTGCGGGGTCCGCCCGTGACGTGTTGGCGGCCGTCGCGGTGTGCTGTTCTGCATCGGCGGCTTCCTGGAGCACTTGGGCGTCCTGTCCTGCCTTGACCTGGCGTGGCTGATGAGGACCGCTGGCGATCTCCACCGAAGAAACGGTGGGAACGAGTTGGGGATGTGGCTCGCGCTGAGTCGGACACGTTTGCCTAGATTTTCTTGCCACGGTGATCGATGTTACCTTGCGTAAGGCCCGGATGTTCGTTCCGCCCGAGAATGCCGGAGCGGACCGGGACTACGCTGCAGGATCCTTCGCTCCGCGGGGTGGTGCGCTTTGGAGAAGGTGGGCGGATCCTTGTGATTCGAGCAGCAGTACCGTGGTGTTTGTTTGGTGGCCTTGTCGAGGGCGGCGCTGGTCACGCCCCCGCGCTGGCAGGAGGGCGCGACGCTTGAGCGATCGATTGGTCGGCCGTCGTTTCGGTGATACATCGCGCCCCCCCCGCCGTGGCGCCAGGCTATCATCAAAACTTGCAGTGTGTCGGGGAGAGGGATCAAAGAACAAAGGGTGCGCAACCCCATCGCTGGTCACAGCTTCGTGTGTACAGGCGAGCGGGATAGTTTGAACCACGATGTCGCCTTCCCTCCCATTGCAGACTCTCATCCACAAGCAGTTAGGAGCTGAATGTCCAGCCCCCCCCCCCACCGTAGACCCCCTGCTTTTTGTTGTACCATCTCGAAGCTTTGAAGCGTGTAGCTGTAGGCGTCCACCCGGGAAAGTTTGAACAGCAAGAGAGTAAGGCCCACCCCAGTCCGTTCTGACACGAGGGTGCCCAAAGCTTGTTTCGGACCGCCGTCCAAGCCGTGGAATTTAGTTTCCCAGGGGCGTGATCGTCGCGGGGCGCTTCGGCGGGCAGAGCGATCATGGAGACGCTCCAACATCGTCCGACCTACTCATCGTTCCGCCCACAAAGTCAATATCCCAAGTATATCAGAATACGCATCGACATGCCGTCGTGCCGTGCAGGAATACGTGCGCAGCCAACTACAAACAGGCGAACAGTGCGTCACACGGCTGGAGTCGTACACGTATTGTCAGCATAAGTGTTGACGTCGACCAACCATGTTATTGTCAGACCAAGCTCCCCCCTGTGGACACACGAGTCAGCACATGTTTGGTGGTAGCGCGTCCCCGAATCAGGTTTTCTTTTTCGGGGTGATTACTCTTCTTGGCAAGTAACTACTAGCCAGCGCGAATCCGAAACATGGATGTGTTGCCAGCTGCGCGGTGTAATCTAGGTGGCGCAATCAATGAGTTGCAGCTCAGCTGGTGCAATCCACGCGGTACACTTTTGGCGGCGCGGAGCAATGCAACGCCATGTAATGCGACGCGGAGAAGTGCGAAGTCATTTGCACTAATGTATCACAAGGCAATACATCGCGAATCAATGCGGATGTGATGCGAATTAACGCTAGGCCATGACACGCAACGCAAATTCTCGCAATTGAACGCAATGGAATGCGACGCACAGCGCTGCAACATGAAACAAAGCAATGCACGTCAATGCAACGCAATGCAAAGCAACGCGGTGCGATTCGAAGCAACGCAAAGCAATGAACACCAATGCGAAGCAATGCGGTGCGACGCAGAGGAATGCAAAGCAAAGAGGGGGGGCGGGGTACAATTTGGGTCGGCGACGGGCCATCCATAAGGCGGCGACGGACGGCGTCGGGCGGGGGCGGACCTGCCGGGGGCGCATGCGGGCCCATTATCTAAGAAGGGAAGTACAAACCTCGAAGTGCAAGTACTACGTTGGGACTTCTCAGACGGGCCCACCAGGGGTTCGCGCTTGCATGTGCCCCCTCCGGAGCCTTAAGTCTCGGGGCCGTTCAGCCTGCTCGGGGGCAGTCGCCGGCGCGGGCGATTCAGGCCAGGAGGGGAAACGACGCAGTCGTGGTAGCAGGAACCCGCTGATATGAGACCGCTGCGGCCTCGCCACGGCGACGGCGCAGGACATGCCGCAGATGGGGCAGGGGATCACAGCCCTGCGGGCAAGAGCTGCAGCCGCTGAGGCGGCGCAGGGATGCCCCGGCCTGCAGCTCGAGGAGGCTCGGCGCCAGGCAGCTGGAGTAGCGCCGCTGGTGGGCGCGCGCGCGTTCGGCCAGGTGGCAATATTTCGCAGGGCACGCGTTGGGGGGGGGGGGGGGGGGGGGGGGGGGGGGGGGGGGGAGACTGGAAGCTCGCTTTCTCGGCGCCCACGTTGCGAACCAACCCGAACGCGAGCGGGCGCGTGAGGTGATCCGAGATGCAGCGCGAGCCCACCGTCAGAGACGCCACCCAGACCATATCTTTCGACTGCGAGCCGATGGGCAAACGGCCCGGCCTCGGCCACGCAGCTTGCAGGTG